AGGTGAACGAAGGGATGGTGTTTGTCCATTCGCAAAACATCTTTGTGACGTCATAGCACTCGTTGCGTACATTGCACGTCTACCGTATTCAAAAATTGAGTATATCCACTCTCCCCTCCCCCAACCAGTTTTGCCCAGGAAGGCATTCAACACCGCTAGGTGACTCTAAGACTAAGTCCAGGAAGGGGAGGATTCCCAGAGAGAATAAAAATTACTCACATCTTCCCTTAGAATCACTCCTCCTCACTAAACCTTGTGGTTAGTCGCAAGTCCTGTGAGTTACTTACTCACTTGAATGTCCCCTCCCCACCCAGTGGCACGATCGTCCAATCAAGTAACAGATGCAGAAGATGGGACTCAAGGAAAGCTCGAAGCCTTGCAATATATTCCAAACCAATGCAACAAAAAACGAGAGAATCAAAGGAAAAGAAGAAGGGTCAATGTCATGAACGGCAAGGACACCGGGTGCACCGGCATTTGATCCAATTGATTTTTCCGTTCACCCAGGTCATGTCTATGTTCGTCGAACCCTTTGGAAGGTGAATTCTAGCTTTGTCCGATGAACCACATGACGGTCAAGACAGAGGGTGTTTGATGAGTCGATGTCAGTATTCGCCACTCACTCGACTTCCATTTGAGATTACTGTAGCGTTTGAGTAAGTATTTTGTCATACATTTTCATTTGACCCGACCAGGTAGAAAGTTGGGCGCTATCGCAATATACGGGGGCATCCTTTAGGACTAAGCCTAGGGGGCAGGAACTCCGAAGAAAATAAAAATGGCCCACGCACCCTGGAGTCTCTCCTTCCTGTCCAGGCTTAGTTCCGTTTTCAACGAAAGAGGGCATGTTTTACGCAGTTTTGAATGCATTGCTACCACAATGCCCCCGTATATTGCGATAGCGCCGAAAGTTGATTTCAGACTTAAAGGCAAAGTTCGGGCTCAGACCCACTTAATGAGCCTTTACGGTGGCTAGAAGCGCTAGGTACGCAAGTGTAGAGGTCGCGTCACTTCCCTACTTCGAAAAGCGTTACTTAGACGCTAGGCGCTAAGAACTTTGACACGCTCCACCTGTTGCGACACGCTCCGCCCACCGCTCGATATCTTGTCTGCGTCGCAACTTGATCTGCTATGCTCTCTCTACTCGTACTTCTCTAGCGCTCTCCGCGCTCACATTATCTCTCATCTCCCTGCCGGCCTTTTGAACTTCTCCGCAGCGTAGAGCAAAAGGCTCGTATTTCCTGTGCATTTCACGAATTTTTTTTTCTTTTCTTTCTCCCATTGTGCCTCATCTTCCACCCCTACCTTCACTTGAGTGAAATTACCTCATAATTTAATCCTGAATCTTCCCTTTAACTAATGACTTTATTTCTGACACCAACTCCCACACAAAATGGAAGGGAATACAAGAAGGTCGGTGTCTCATGTCTGCCCACCCGCGTCCTGTGCAGCGGCCAGATCCATCGATCCATCACTTCTGGAGGTGCGCTAGGTACGAGTAATCCTTAGACCTTATATTATTACATATTAATATTATTACATATTACATACATATTAACACAACAGCTTTAGTACATAACCATATAACACACACAGCTTTAGTGTGAAATTTCCCGATTACATGAAGCCCCCGCACCCGCCCCCGTCTAGGCCACACATCCTCCACGGCCCTAACAAATTAAACAGTGGTTTTTTGATCGATAAAAGTTACATCTGGAAGTCCAACGTAGTCCATCACTGGGAACCACTGTTCCACAATGACAAAAATACAACGCCCACCATTCGGTGCCATTGAAATCGCTGCGGTAAATCATGGAAGGGCAATTATAACCCTTTTCATGATGAAATCAGAGGCAGAAGCTCATTCCAGTGGGCTGTTTGCTTTTGCAGGTGTGCCAGTCGTCAATTGTCTGTTTTCTAGATGAGTAACCTTTAATCGATTTCGACAAAAGAGCTGTATAAATGTCCATTGTCAACACATCCAGTCATCGCCCGTTACATCCAGTCGCCGACTGTAGAAATGTTCTACGCTGTAACTGTTCCTCTTTCCCTTTTATTCATCGTTCAGGTTTGTCATTCACACCCTGTCAAGCTTTTGAAACCAAAAATCGTGCTCCTGTCATGAATTCCGCTTAACAAATTTCAGGCCAATGGTTTCAGTCTGAATCCATTCGGTGGAGACTTCGACCCGATTCCGGAATTTTTTCCGGGTGAGTTCGATAGCTTCTGACTAGTCATTTCTAAGGAGAGAACTTAAAGGCACAGTTCATGATTGGTTAGTCGTCGTTTGTCACTCCTAATGGTTGGATCAGGTTTGGTCGGAAAATGAAATCATAAGAAACTGTGGAAACTCTACTAGTGCACCCTCACTCTTAGTTAAGCATGATAAACAGCGCGAAGAAGGAGGACGAATAGTCTTCGCTTTTTGAGGGAAGGATAAAGCATATAAAATGCTGGACCAAACCTCATTGAATCCCTCTTTAGGCCACGCATTCTACTTCCATTTGTACATTCGTAGTGGCGTTTGAATGCGATGTGGCCTATACAATGACTTGCGGGGGCCAGCCGATGTACAAGTCAGTGTTTTTATCCTCCCAGACAAGTCTGGATTACCGACCGAGGGATGGAAGACTTGTTGGGCCTTGAATCAAGATCACCTGCAGAACTCCCCTGCCCCGTAGGTGTTTTTGGACCCTAAAGGTGTACCGACTCCCTACGGCATAATCCTCAGACTCCCTTGCTAAGTACTTTCAAAGGCAGCGAATACGATGGATAGAGGGCGGAGCTGTTTGATGAAGTCATTGGTGGGCCAGACGTTGGGGGGGGCTTGACGATCTCCCATCCCTCTTCCACCAATCACGCTCAATGACGTCATCGATAATGTCCCCGCCCTCCAGCCATCGTGCTCACTGCCTTTAACTCACAAGTGTAGCTTTACAGTTTTGGAACTTTTTTATCACGTTCACGAAAAAAACTTTATTTCACTAAACTAGTCATGAAATGGAACTTAAACCTATTTTGATTTTTCTTCTCCCTAGCACTGGTCCCGCGCATTTGCAGGGCCCGCTGTTTAACCTCTTTGAGTCCAAAGTTCACTTCACATTTCATGTGGGAGCTCAAGCAACATGTTCAGGGCGGAATATTCGACTCTGGTTGGTGGTGCGACCTATGGAGAGACTTTGAAAAACTCATTCCGTTCCTTACCGTCGACGTGGACATCAAAACCACCAACGGAACTACATGGGTCACGACAAACATTGGAGGACACCAATACAATGCCACATTCGAAGACGTGAAAACGATCAGCTCCTCGAGGAAGACTGTGACTCAAGACGGTAACAAGACCGAAGTATTCACCCTTGAGGTCAATAACAACACCTACACCTACAAGACGGTAAACAACCACACAACGGCCACGGGTGGTAATCCATTCAATGTTCCATTGGATGAACAATAAGCAGAGCCCTAATTCGACATTGTCATCGACCCGACAAGTAAAGTGGTCACAATTGATTAACACCATTGCATTTTGCTTGTATTGTATTCGTATTTGCAACTGACAATGTTGTGATAAACTTTATTCATTTACTTTGACCACATAAAAGTAGTAAAATATGTTTGATAACGCTGAAAGTACCTACTGATAACAAAGACAATGTACTTTTTGTTCACGTAAATCGTTTATTATGATTTTTTGGTATAAAATGTCCGGCGCTTCACATAAAAAATGCATTTTCTCGAGAGCAGGCTTCTTAAAACAGTGCTTTACTACAACGAGGGCCAGAAAAGAGGCCGACCACTGCGTTGGGAAATTTTTGGTTCACATATGTCCTTCTCTC